AAAAAAAAAAAAACTTCAGTAAAACATAAAAGAATACTTAAACTACGAATCTACTAGATTCTGTGCTTTTTCCATACCCATAAACAAATTAATGTCTACTACTTTCCTTACGGAACTTTAACAATGGTAAAATAATAATTAGTGGTAACTCTGCTGACTTAGCTACATGTTTAATCTTAATCTACAGTTTTTATTTTCAAATATCTCACTAGATGTCAGTAACGAGCAAAATTCTCTTCAGACACTGTATAAAGACACTGAAAATTCAATTCAGTTTTCAGAATTCTAGTTGCCAAAGGAAAATACTTCACGTTAGGTAACTATTCATATTATTTGAATTTCTGTATGCATCTTTCTTTTACAACAGAGTTTCTTAGTCTCATCACCACTGACTTTGACACAAATGATTCTTTGTTGTGAGGGCTGTCCAGTATAATATAGGATGTCACCTGCACCCTTACATTATGCAATGCACACATGCACACACATGCACACACACACACACACACACACACACACACACACACACACACCTCTGCTTTGAAAAGTCTCCAGATACCGCCAAATTATTTGTAGGGACAACAGTGCCACTGCTTTACAATATAAATCCTAAGGCTATATTCACATGTTCAACTACTCTTGTCATATATCCAGAGTTTCCTAAATGCTTGAAAATACTATATTTTAACTTTCATTCTGCTTATGTACTACACCCATTGATTGACATGTGTTGAACCATCCTTGCATCCACTTGAACATGGTGTATAATCTTTTTGTTGTGCTACTGAATTTGATTTATAATACGTTAAGCAAAGTAAGTCAGATGCAGAAAGACAAATATGACATTTTCTCTTAAGTAGAAACTAAAATAATGTCAAGGTAAAACAGTTGTTACTATGGAGTGGCAAGAGTATAAAGCAGAAGGACAGAGAGGTAAGAAGGTGGATGAACAAAAATTGGATATGATCAAGGCACAATCTAAGTACCTGAGTGTAACAACACAGTCCTTCAATATGTGTAAATAAAATTTTTAAGAAGAAAAATACAAAAAAAAATAAATTAAAAAAAAGAAAAATACATCAGGCATAGTGTCACATGCCTCTAATCTCAGTACTCGTAAGGCTTAGGGAAAAGGATTGCTGTGAGCTTGAGGCCAGCCTGGGCTGCAAAGTGAGTTCAAGGCCAGCCTGAACTACGTAGTGAGAGACTCTGTCTCAAAAATGCAGAC